ATCTAAAACAATGCTTATCAGAATCTAAAACAATGCTTATCAGAATGTAAAACAATGTTGATCAGAATTCAAACAATGTTGATCAGAATTCAAACAATGTTGATCAGAATTCAAACAATGTTGATCAGAATCTAAAATAATGTTGATCAGAATCTAAAATAATGTTTATCAGAATTTAAAACAATGTTGATCAGAATTCAAACAATGTTGATCAGAATCTAAAACAATGTTGATCAGAATCTAAAACATTTTGAATGTTGTTAAAATTATACAAAATGTTGATTCAGTGTGTGAATTGAAAGTGTCCTGGGAAAATAATTGTGAACCAATATTGAAGAGTAGAAATATTATATGATGATCAAAAACTTTTTGTTCAGTTTTACAAGATAATTAATTACATGTCATTTACAGGAGGCCATTAATCGTGTTCAAGATCTGCAAGCTGACGGCAGTCTGAGTGGTGTAATGGATGACAGGGGGAAATTTATTTATATATCAGAAGAAGAGATGCAATCAGTAGCAAAGTTCATCAAACAGAGGGGCAGAGTTTCAATCAGTGAATTGGCAGATCATAGTAATATGTTGATTAATTTGCAGTCAAACATTGAGGTTGCATCATAATTTGTCTTTTTTTTTGATAGTGAAATTACACGTGAATAAAGTAAATCTGAGTCTCTATGAGTTTGTTTTTTCCATTTTTGTTTTATGAATGTATGTACATTAGGTTTTGTTTTGTTATGTCTACCATTGAGAGTATAAACCTACTTTTTTTCATTGAGATTTGAATGAAACTTTCTGAGATTGAGTACATCAGGAAAATCATTAGTTTAAAGCATTATATTTCTATCACTGAGTTAGTTGGTAAATGCATTTTGGAAAAAACAAAAATAAAGTTAAAATGTGTACCTTTCAAACTGACTTGTGTGCCATTGACCAGAGATAAATCTATTTTGTTTTTATCCATATTTATGGCATCAATATATCCTTGTAATAATTTTCAGAGTTTTCATGGCCCGTGTAACACAATATAAAGTCAACTACAGATTGATGGGCCTCTACTAAGCATAATCTTTGTTTTCTGCTGAAATTTAGTCATGTTTCTGCACTATTCACGTAATTCTACTAATGGCGTTTGTGATGGTTTAACACAGCCCTCTCAATTTATGCAACTCCTGATCATAGTGTACAAAGTGCATTTGAGAGGCATTCACTGTGGTCGTCTTGCCACGCCGTGTTCGATATGGAACTCATAGTATACAACGAATGTAAAATACACATGTACATTGTTTATTTACATTATATTCGAACACGCGCTGAGCGACGACTACCGCTCTTTTACTATTATCAGCCTCTTTCATTTTCATGAGTTTAGCCGAGGATGGCGCTGTTTACGGGAGTTTATGATGTTTTATTCACATGAGTTGAAGACCGACTTTTTCCGTCGGTTTGTTCTTGTTTTTGCGAAAATACTTTTTGATTCAACAACTTAGAGAAGGTAACGACTAAGGTATTCAGAAAACGTGTTGACAATAATGAACGGTATTGAAATAGTTATGTTGCCAAAAACTGCATCTCCGATGTATTCAGACAAAACTCTTACTACGGAGTTGAAAAGGTGCTAGCGTTTGAGGTCATAAATAATATTTCAAAAGCTTATTTGATTGCCCTTCAGATGACCATAATCAAAATAACAACATGTGTGGAATAGTGTAATGCTGGATTGACGTATGACCACGTCACGCATCAAACCAACATTTCAACGTTCATGACCGGTTTTACGAGATATGGTACTGGAGAAAAACATTTCATTCCGCAACTTTTAAATATACAAATGTTCGTTTCTCTTTGCCTTTGGATTATCTCGATAACTTACTAAAGATACTGCAGCAATGTAAGGGAATTCAATTACTAAACATTCTGGTAAGTGTACGCACTCCGTCCGAAAAAATGGACTGTTCGACGGTCAAATTGTGGAATTATATATCCGGCAAATTATAATGCAACTACCGGTATTATTTCCAAACCGATCATAAATGTGAGCCATATAAAAACCAGTTCAGTCAGGTTATCTAACCGTTTAGTGATTAACAAAAAAGTAGTTTATGTCAAAAAAGTGTATAAAAACTGGCATAGTGAGTGTATTTGTAAACAGTGATATTGGTGAAAATAAACCCTATTTGAGACCACGAGTGTTAATTTGGTCCTCGTAAACACACCCTTTCACTTTCAGGCCAGAAGACTAAGTGACACGATGCGAAAAGGGGCGACGCGTACATATACGTATAGACTGGCAAAGTTAGTCTTTTTAGCGTGAGCGCGAAAACTAAGCTGACCGCTAAAGAAATTCTTTCGCTGTCACGCTAGTTTTTGCCATCACGTTAAAAAGGCTAAATTGACAATTAATTATATTTTATTGTAAAACAAACAAAAAAAACCGACTTTGCCAGTCTAACATACGTATTTCACAAAAAACCACTGGACTGCAGATGTCGGGTTACTTGAGGTCATTGACTCGAAAAAATAGGTGGCGTGCCAAAAAAATATGGTCAACTCTGACTGCGCGTGCTCTCGTTTATAGAAATTACTACACATTCTTTTGTGCTGAAAACTTATTTATTAATTCCGGGTTACCAAAATTACCAAACAACTCCCGAAACAGCTAACATGTTCAAAATTGGCAAATGGGTGGATTCGGACGCCGTTCCACCCTTGTCCGGCTTCTCACACCGGGTAGCTCTTAACTGGACACCTGACTTTCAAATGACTGAAATGCCGCACCCAACGGTCCACAATTCATTGTTCTTGAGCCAACAGGTCAATCGGTGAACAGATTTGATCGTAGGGTGACTCATCCTGGCGTGATCTAATGTAGATTCAAGCACCGGTTTAGGCAGGTTTTTTGTTTCTTCACAAAAGAATGATAAACGACTTGTACCGTAATCCATGACGTCACCAGTAACTCTGACGTCACTCATTATTTACAGTCGTAAACAATTATCCAATAACCTGTTCATCGAATATCCAACTTATCATAATAAACGCAGGCGACTATTCCATTTGAAGTATTTCCCACATATTAATTGCCGGGGCCGCAGTTGATATATAGCTGGACAGAGAGTGCTAGGTGCCCCTGAGTGCTCAAAAGTGTGACCATTTTAATACATGGGTAGTGGAAAAATCTATACCAACATTTATACCAAAGTACCATTTCTGTCATCACTGTTTATTTCAAATAAAACAGTTAACGTATTTGCTCTATCAGAAGAGCATCTCCAATAGAAGCACATGTAAGCTAACAGTTGCATTGTATATTGATTTATTAAAATGTGTATTTTGACCATAAAAACACCTCTTTCACTTACATAAGAGTATATTATTAACATTATTCATACCTTTTTGACCAGAAATAAGACCGATACTTATACTTAAAAACCAAAAAACGAGACCCATTTCAGGGGCACGTCCCCATTAGGCAAGTTCTATGTATTCCCCCCCCCCGGATTAATTGTTACTGTTCCCTACAAAATGTAAAAATATTTACAACGTTTCAGGACAAACTTGTGGCTGTCTGCCTAGTTTAAAGAACACCTCACTGGGTCAGTCGTCCCGGTCAACAGTGTTCACTATATTGCCCGGGATATTGTCTGTGGCTGCTGCTCCCTCCCCTCAAACCAAGAGTGCTCACTATATTGCCCGGGATATTGTCTGTGGCTGCTGCTCCCTCCCCTCAAACCAAGAGTGTTCACTATATTGCCCGGGATATTGTCTGTGACTGCTGCTCCCTCCCCTCAAACCAAGAGTGTTCACTATATTGCCCGGGATATTGTCTGTGGCTGCTGCTCCCTCCCCTCAAACCAAGAGTGTTCACTATATTGCCCGGGATATTGTCTGTGGCTGCTGCTCCCTCCCCTCAAACCAACAGTGTTCACTATATTGCCCGGGATATTGTCTGTGGCTGCTGCTCCCTCCCCTCAAACCAAGAGTGTTCACTATATTGCCCGGGATATTGTCTGTGGCTGCTGCTCCCTCCCCTCAAACCAAGAAACCAATACTAACCTTTACTAGGGACTGTAGTTAGTACAAATCAAAATATAAAAATTTATAGAATACTGTAGTTCTTGTCAGTTTGGCTTCCATGGAATGTTTTCCATACCTTTATGCACCGAAATAGTTTTGTGGAACACTATTGCTACGTTCGCGTTACGGGATCTCGGTACGTGCCGAAATTTGTATTTATTCGTGATTGCAGAGCGATTATGATTAAAATAAGATCCTGGTTGGCTTATTTTTTTTAAATATTTTTTTATATACATGTAATTATAATTTATTCAAATTATTATTTGACGTTACAATTATTTTGCTGCAAGAATTGGTTTGTTTATGAAAGCCCCGATACGCCAAATTTATTGTAAAAGCAAATATTAAAATAAATAATAATGAATAAAATTAATAGTAATAATATAATAATATTAATAATTAATAATAATAACAATAACCAAACATGGCAGACGATACGCATTGGATGATAATAATAATTGTTTTAGTGAAATCATATTCATTTGTTGTTATGGTATTTATTATGAGCCATTGTTCACAAGAACGGCAAAGAAGAACTGACATCTGTTCACGTCTATGTGGCATTGTAAGATGAAACCGGTTGCAACAGCACATAAATATGCTTCGCCGCCAACGTTCTGCATGCATTTCATTCATTACTACAGCATCCGACCATATCTACCTGCACTTCCCTTAATAATAATAATAATACTTAATAATAATAATAATAATAATATGAAATTTTCGTCATGACTGGTATAAATCAGTACTAGTATATGTTCTCTTGAATTAACCACCGATGGCGTGATTTCGAGCCGACACTTCTCCACTCAGCACGTGCCGAGTTCCGGATCATGAACGCCACTTATATCAATATTTGAGTTCTACTTCGGAGGCTGGCAAAACTGTGACAGAGCGTGTACGCTCTTCGGCTGCCCACCGCATCGCGTTCGTTATATTGTTTGTGTAACACCTTCATTTTACCATAATGGTTTATATCCGTATTCTGAGTTGGGGTTTGTTCTATTTGTGTATTTCGTTTTGACTTTATATTGGGGGCGCTGTCAGTGGCTTCTTCTTGGAAACTACCGGTCCGGTTGCGTTAATATTTGAGGTATGTATTTTAGTAAGGTAACAGTTATTGTCTTCCTGCAAGCGGATAGTTGCTTTGATATTTGTAAATAAATACGAATATATATGCCATGATCACTTTTCAGTAAGCAAATCATTTTCCTGTATAGTGAGTGCAACTGCCCCATCTATCCCGTCCGCTTTTGGTAGCATACTTGCACGTAGTAATCCGGGTGCTGAAAATCAAACTGAGACTTGGTTTGTACCGAGAATCACGCACAAGCACAAAATTAACATCGAACTTTTCCGGAAATGTCCAAAGTCTAAAACTACAAATTTCGTCACCTCGCATACAGAGCTTTATTTGTTCGTGTTGCATCATGTTTTAATCACGGACATACATCACACCGGGGTTAGTAGTAGTAATTATTATGGTATCCGTATCCAGGTAAAGATTTTAATGTTGCTAATTTATGTATTTACTCCACACGTATCAACGCATACAGCGCGTGATAAGCGATTGGCGGCTTCATGTTTGCCTCATGCATGGC